TGTATATTTTTATTTGGCGAAACTATACAGGGTGATTCACAAATGGTGACTAAAAATGAAACCTCGTAAGGCTTTCCTATAAAGTTTTTATCTAGGACGCTTCGCTAAAAAGATACAGGGTGTTCAACTTACAAAAATATTTTTAATATTTTTAAATAATTTAAAAACTAGTAAGTAAACATTGTCTAAAATCTGAGGGCTTTTCCTAAAATTTACATGTTCCAGTGGCGGAGGTACAGGGTATCGGTGGCATATTTTTCTAAATTAAATAGTACGCCATTGCTTTAAGGTAACAACCATGATATTTTCGGATTCGTCTTTCAATTTTCTATAAATTACTACTCTCTTATGTTTTTCGAAGAAAGCATGATTTTCGAGTAAAACTTAAAAAACAACTGAAATCTCATACTTAAATGACATGACCAGTACTAATCATTCGGTTATTTATTGGAATAAAGAAATAAATAACATTAGTCATAATTTTAATGATTTTATTTTAGTAAATGCCTCAATTTCCACGAACACAGGCCTGACATCTTTTTAGTAACGAAAATGTAATTTGTTCGAAATTTATTGTTGCTTGAATCTGATGAAAAGCATTATTTATTCTTTCTTCTAACTGCTCAGGTGTATTAATTTGTTCACTGTATACCAGCCGTTTAACAGCACCCCACAAAAAGAAATCCAGTGGGTTGAAGTCTGGTGTTTTCAGTTCGTTTTTTAAGTTTTACTCGAAAATCAGGCTTTTTTCGAAAAACATAAGAGTAGTAATTTGTAGAAAATTGAAAAACGAATTCGAAAATATCATGATTGTTACCGTAAAGCAGTGGCGTACTATTTTATTTAGAAAAATATGCCACCGATACCCTGTATCTCCGCCACTGGAGCATGTAAATTTGAGGAAAAGCCCTCAGGTTTTGGACAGAGTTTACATGAATACATGCGCCCAATTTCAAATTATTTCACTTAATGGTTTTTAAATTATTTAAAACAATTTAAAATATTTTTTGAAGTTTAACACCCTGTATCTTTTTAACGAAGCGTCCTAGATGGAAACTTATAGGAAATACTCTCCTTAAAATTCACCAAAGAATACGAGGTTTTATTTTTGGTCACCATTTGAGAATCACCCTGTATATTGCGTCATAAAAAATTAATTAGGAGGGTTCATATAAAAAAATTCGCCCTGTATACGATTTGTTTTAATGTAATAAGGAATGTTAAAAGTAGACAAATGGGTAAGGAAATGTGTATATTATTTTGTCACACTTTTGTTAACTTTTTTAAAAATAAATTTTTACTAAAACTAAAAATTCAGCATAAAATATTAGTTCTTGCATCATTTACATTAATTTTGTCATTCTGTCTAATTTCCAGGTCAGTCTGTAATAATTTTAATTTTTTTAATTATTAACTACAAAAAGTCTAAAAATTTCATGTTTTTTTTTAAATTTTTTCATATGTCTGAATTTACGAAATAAATTTGTATGTACGATAAGGAAAAACTGTAAAACAAAATTTAAAAACTAAAACCACAAAACAAGACGAAAACAGAAACCTAAGAAAAACCAAAGAACTAATTATTAAAGAAAATCTCGGTACTTTTTTGTTTTCTTGTGCTTGTTTTCCAGCACTTGTGGTTAACAATTTTGTTTTTTATTGTTTTCTCAATTTGTTTTGTCCTGCAAAGTTTTAGTCTTGAATTTTTTGGGGTTTTCCGTTATCATCCATACTAATTTATTTTGTAAACTCATAAACGTATGGGGCAATTTAAAATAATTTTTTTTTTCTTTTTTTTGAATTGTTTTATTGCGCATCCATTTTTTTAAACATTAAGGATTAATGCTCTGGAAATTAATCGAAATGACAGTATTAATGTAAATGATTTTCGATTGAAAGTGTTTGCTTTTGATCAAATGCTGAATTTTCAGTTTTAATAAACATTGACTATTTGCAAACATTTCAACAAAAGTGTGACAAATATGTCAAATACATATTATGCAGCTTTCCTTATTTGTCTCCTTTTAAAAATCCCAGTTGCATTAAAAAATATCGCATACAGAGTGAATTTTCGATATGAAATCTTCTAATAATTAAATATTTAATTTTATTATAATTTTCGAGGATTTTATCAATATTAATACAAACTTCGGCATTTCAATGTAAAATGTAATCGTAGCAATTATCAGTGGAACTTGGAACCTTTTGAGAATCTCGTTAACTTATATCAGTAAACACTGAACAGATGCATTATACGAGTACAAGGAACATAATTATCTTAAAGTGGTTCTGAAACTCTATTAATTTCACTTCACTTCAAATTAATAATTTCGGTATTTTTAAATCATATGTTAATCACGATTCTTATCTATTTTAATACTCTTTCCTGGACAAGTAAACAATTCTTATTACGGTCCTGGATAGCGCTTCTCCGTCCAAGGACACCGAAAACTGCTGATTGATATCAAAGGGCTGACAACGGAATGTTTTGCATATGCTTGTAGACTAGGCGGTATCTGTTTTGGTTTGGGTGAATGGTGAATCGTATATCCACGGAGATTTTTGGCTTTTTGGCTTTCAAATATCACTAGAAATTAAAATTTTTCTAGGCGCATAAAAAAACGTGGGCCTAACTTTTGGCGGCACAATATGTTAAAAAAAATTCGAAAAATGTCATATTTTTCTTCCTATTTAATTATGTATCTTTTCAAGAGTTGGTTTTAGGCGAAAATGGAAGAGGAAAAAATGTTTGTAATTAAATTTAACAAAATATGACTAGTTACAAATCGAATGAATCATGATTATTATTGTAAAAATCGAAAAAATCGCCAAAACTGGGGTTAAAAAACATTACTTTTTAGGGATTTTTTTTGGGGATTTTAAGTTGGATATAGGACTTTCATACTTGACTCAAGAAAAGTTCATGTTATGTAGAATCATCATACCAAATTTCATCAAAATCGGTTCTATAGATTTTGCATAATAATTTTGAAATCCGGATTTTGAAAATAAATTTGCAAATTTTCAAAATTTTGCACAGCAAAACCCAAGGCCCTTAGATACTTGAAAATTTAATCACATATAGAAGAGCTCTCAAGCTTTCAAGCGCCTTTTGAAAAATTCGAATCCGTCAATTAGGAGAACTCTGGCGCTTGTTTAAACAGTGGTCGAATGTTTGTATTTATAAACAATTAGAATAATTTTGTGAATATTCAATCAAATCAAATTTTTCAAAGCTGGTTTTAAAAGTTATTGGAAAGACGCTTCTTTAAAAAAAAAACAGATCGGTTGGTCAATTAGTTATAGCCGATCAAAGTTAACCGTAATTTACAGTAAATCCGGGACTAATTTTTCGAAAAATACCTTTGGTATTCCGAGTTCTTACCAGGTCTAAGTTTGCAATACTTTTCTTCATTGGCAACCTACTTTAAAACGCGTTTAAAGTTATTTATGCAAGCGAGAAATTCAAGAAAATCGTACGGGTGGTGGTGGTGGGGGAAGCAGAGAGCGCGGCCGCTTCGGCCTGCTCGAAATTGAATCGGCGAGTTCAAAACCGCGACGCGCTTAAAAATTTTTAATATCTCAGTTTTTAGAGGTCCAATTTTGATGATTTTTTTAAATCGATGTCTCTCGATTTAAAAAAAAACAATTAGCGTATTTTAAAATGCCTATCGTTAATAATAATTATTGGTCTTTCAACAGTCCGATAATTATTTATCTTTAAACTTCCTTTAATTATCAACTTTATTTTTTTATTGTATCAAAGGTAAGTGCATAAACTTATATACTGTTTATCAAAGATCAAAAACAAATTTATTTAAATATTTTAAAATTGTTTAAACAACAATTATTTTAAAAATGTGTCGAAAATTAGTAATTAATTAATGATTTAAACATTATTTCTTTTGAGATTAAAGTATAATTAAAATATTATTTACTGTTTAAAATATAAGCAAATGAGAAATTAACTCATTATATTACAAAAATACAAAATTATAGTACAAAAATTCGACCAATGCTTAAACAAGCGGCAGAGCTCTCCTAATTGACGGATTCGAATTTTTCAAAAAGCGTTTGAAAGCTTGAGAGCCCTTCTATATGTGATTAAATTTTCAAGTATTTAAGGGCCTTGGTTTTTGCTGCGCAAAATTTAGAAAATTTGTAAAATTTTCAAAATCTCGATTGCAAAATTATTATGCACAATCTGTCGACCCGATTTTGATGACATTTGGTGTGTTGATTCTACATAACATGAACTTTTCCTGAGTCAAGTATGAAGGTCCTATACCCAACTTAAAGACCCCAAAAAAATTCCCTAAAAAATAATGTTGTTTAACCCCATTTTTGGCGATTTTTTCGATTTTTACAATAATAATCAAAATTCATTCGATTTGTACTAGTCATATTCTGTAAAAAATTTAATTACAAACATTTTTTTCCTCTTCCATTTTCGCCTAAAATCAACTCTTGAAAAGATACATAATTAAATAGGAAGAAAAACATGACATTTTTCGAAGTTTTTAAACATATTGTGTCGCCAAAAGTTAAGCCCACGTTTTTTTTATGCGCATAGAAAAAAAAAACTTCATTTCTAGTAATATTTTAAAGCCAAAAAGCCAAAAATCTCCGAGGATATAGGATTCACCCAAATATGGGCGATTGTATTTGTAAATTGTAGCGATATAACTAGAAGTAGGTATATCCGAAAAATTAAAAAAAAAAATTAGCGTACAATTAATATTCTTCGCGAAATATTTGGATTAGAACTAAAATTTGGCCACATACCATCGTATCGAAAAGGAAAGTTTCCCAGTAAAACGCACCCCACACTGTTCAATTGACTACCAAAATCCTTCAACTGACGTTCACGTGTACCGACTGACAAGCGTCCCCTCTGACGACGGGGCCTCAGCGGCGGCCATGGCAACCACCGCCTGCCGGCCTACCCGTTTCCTTCCCAGAAAAAAAATTCTATATCGACCGACGCGTTCTATTTCCAGCCCGCTGCAGCCGTTGCGGATCACGAAGGCATCGTGGTGAAGCTGCTCCAGCTGGTACTGGATAACAATCGCGGAAGGACGAGCTGCGGCGGTACGGCCGAGGATGGCGCCGCCAAGGTCGCGGATATATTGGAACGGCTCAAGGCCGGGGGGGACGTGGAGGTGTTGCGGAAGGTGCTGGAGGCGGTGCAGAACGGCGGCGAGGAGAAGGCCGGCGAGGGAGACGAACAGCTGAGGCTGCAGATCGTCGGGAACCAGGCGGACGCGGGGGAGGCGCCGCCGAAGAGGAGGAAAGAGTGAGTGTTGTTTGTTTTGCAATTTTTTTAGCGTGTAAGTTTGTTGCTGCGGTGAATTTTAGAGGGAGCCGCGCTATTTCCCACAGAAGTGTGTTTTCTACAGCGTTGCCAGTTTTTTTTCGGGCAAAGCGGGAGTTTGAAACCTTTTGAATAAAAAGCGAAGTTAACCCAAAAAATTCATAAAAGTCAAAAAAACGGTTTTTCCCTAATAAAAAAAAACTTGAAGTCCAATCGAAAAAAGTTAAATGAGAAAGTTGTGACTATTAAAAAAACTATCGAATCGTATTTTTAAATATATAGATTGCTATATTACCTTTCGAGATATATCGACAAAACCGTCAAAAATCGACTTTTTTTTTGCTGTATCTCTTGCAAATTAAGATTTTGAAACTTGGTACTTGCTGTAAATGTAGCCCTCGGCAAACAAATAAAATGCATTTCTTTTAAATTAAAAAATATTACAAATTTTTCGAATTATATCGATTTTTCGAAAAAAAGGTCGTCTCGAAAATCGGCTCTTCTTGCTCGACAAATGATCGTTGAAAAACGTATCTGGACTCATTTTTTTCCTTAAGAGTTGTACTTTCATGTTAAAAAAAGAGTTATAACGATTTTATTCATTTAAAGTGCCCAAAAATGATTTTGAAAAAACTAAAAACTTTTTATTATTATTTAAAAAAATAGGATGTATCTGCGTCAGCGGTTGCAAAAATAAAATCTGCGATTGTAAAAAAAAAACAAGAGGTGAGAGAATTTTAGAATAAAGCAAAATTACATTTTTCAAAAGTAATTAATTATGCTTTTGAGGCCGTTGTAAACGTCATATTTTGGTTTATCTCGAGCTACCCCATTTTAAGTACAAAAGGCTTTTTGTACGTGGTCCAGAAGTCGAGATAATGATTAAGAGCGCTTTTGAACGGGCGAATTTAGTTTTCGGTGCGGCCGAATAGCGTTACCCCCACTCCGCCGCACGCAACAGTTAGCTCCTTGGAGCATATTACTCCTAGAGGCAGCCATCAGTGCTGAGAAAGCGCAACTGGTGTGCGAGAGAGAAAGGAGAATACAAGGACATGCTATCTCTCTCACTCCGCGAGCTGGATTGGTCGGTGCGTGCTCCCCTCCATGCCAATGACCGAAAATTTTCAAAAGTATCCGGACCCCACCTAAATTTACTTGCCGACCCCTGCTCTAGGAGTATATGCTCGAAGGTTAGCTCGCGCCTGGCTCGTATCGTATGCTTCGGTTGGACGCACAATTAAAAATGCAGAAGTGGCTAAAATGAACCACAGTATTTTTTTTATTGAAAATATGTCCAACTTCAATTAAAAAAAAAAAATTAGTTCGGCTCCAGAATTCGCGTAAAAATGCAAACAATCAATTCCTGTAATAGACATTATCGAGAAATGGAAATCGAAAAAGATATTCAAGAAAAACACGGCCAAAAAATGTTTACTTTTTTCAAAGTCATTTTTGGTTACTTTAAATTAACAAAATCGTTATTACTCTTTTTTACCATGAAAGTACAACTCTTAAGAAAAAAAATGAGCCTTGATTCGTTTCTCTACCACTATTGGTCCAGCAAGAAGAGCCGATTTTCGAAATGACCTTCTTTTCGAAAAATCGATATAACTCGAAAAATTTTTAATATTTTTTAATTTAAAAAAATGGCACTTTTATTGCCTGCCGAGGGCTACATTTACAGCAAGTAACAAGTTTCAAAACCTTAATTTGTAAGAGATACAGCAAAAACAAGAAAAGTCGATTTTTGACGATTTTTTCGATATATCTCGAAAAGTAATATAGCAATCGATATATTTAAAAATATGAATCGATAGGTTTTTTAATGGCTACAACTTTCTCATTCAACTTTTTTCGATTGGAGTTCAAGTTTTTTTTATTAGCGAAATACTGTTTTTTTTACTTTTATGAATTTTTTAGGTTAACTTCGCTGTTTATGCGCTACAGGAAAAAAACGCTATCTTAGAATTTTTTTCCTGTATCACCATATTTTTTCTTTCCAGGTGGTATTTTTTGTAAATTTAACATTAGGCCGACATATTGATGGACTGATTTTTTGCTGATCTTGTTTTTAAGGTATAATAAAAGTACGTTTTTTTAGAGCTACAGCTTTGAGTATATAGTGATCCTTGTTAAATTTCGGGGAACTACAAATTATATGGACGCTACTGTGTAGTACTGTACTTGCAAGAAATGCGTACAAGTCGTCAGTACCAGAAATAATATTTTGATTTGATTTTATGTTTGTTATCGAATACGTCCCAGATCTCGAAATTTGCCAAAATTAACAAACTACTCGCCCAAACCGAAACTTGTAGGTTATTTTTACGCGTAAGGTGAATTTTGTCTTTTCTCACCTTATTACATGGCGGCCTTTCAAGAGCGGCGTTATTCCATTGCCAACGTTTTGTGTATTTTAATTTTACTTCGAATGAAAACTTTCTTATGATTTATTCACTGGCAGGCTACATTTATACTGGGCCAGATAATAATAAAGCTCGAAATTGTTTCAAATTTAATATTTTACAGCCGAATTCAAATCATTCATAGCTTTTTTTATTATGAAGAGTACAAGGTGATTCACTCTATTTTGACTTTTTCGTTTTTCGAATTTAAAAAAGTGTGAAATACAAAAGTTGCACGATTTTTTATGAAGTTTTCTAAAATGATAGTCTAAAAGGAAATGAAGTCCAAACAAAATGGCCGCGGATGATAACTTTGTTAATTTAAATGGAACACCCTGTATATTTTTACATATTTGGATAGAACGTTCCCTGTCGAGTTTTTATAAAGTTGTAGCCACCAGTATAGTAGTACTTAAAAAATACTAAAACTAAACTATGTTCTTAGAAAACAACATGTACCTAGAGTTTCGAGGTTGGTTTTTCTCGTACAGTGTTGACATTTAAAATAATATTTCACATTCAGGTATTTAAATATTTCTAAACATCTATTTTTGTATTTACACCGATTAAACTTTGGCTCTATTGATATATACAGGGTGTATAGTCTTTCCGATGTCAGTTGAACATGTATAAAAACGCCTAGCAATAAAATTTAATGAATTTCATAATGTAATGTGTAGAAAATGTCTTTATATGTTCATTTGGCCAACAACATATTTTAATTATTTATGTCCTCAAACAATGTTATTATATTGATGGTAAATTTCGTTTTGTTCCGTTTCAAAAGGTCTCCAAAATGCCATGTTGTAATAATATTATTTCTCCCTTTCGCAATTGTAATATCAATGATTAATAGAAGGTGCCTATAATAAATTAAAATTACCTGAATCACGCCAAATTCCGCATTGCTGCACTGCACTGCTAGGCAGTTTGTCGACCACTTGTCAACAACTGAGATTTATTGCCCAGTCGCCCAGTGCGGCTGTGTTTGTGCGCCGTTTGTCTGCGCGCGTCTTCTTCAACTGGGCGTATACATTTCTACCACCTCCACGTTTAGTTGGAATGGGAACAAGTTTTTCAAATATTTCAATAACGAGTTGCTGCGTCAGCGACCGAACCTATTACATACTGCGAACTTCTTGGTTCTTCAATTGAGATCGGAAAGACATATCATTGAAAACGGATTTTTCCATAAGTTTGATAATATCAAAAAAACACAACAAATTTTTCAAATAAAAGTTTCATCATCAATTTCCTCATATTTTAGGATTATTTTTCATTATACAGCGCGTTTCATTTCTCCTAAGCGTTACCTAACTTCATTTTTTCATATTAAACACCCTGTATATTATTGCATTTTATAATTTCTCGTTTAATTCAGGGCCCACTTTGATACACAGGTGTTGATGTACAGTTTCAGTGTTATTTATCGTTTTTTTTATACGGCGTTTGCAAAAATATAAAATATTTACAAAACTAAATGTTACACTTTTCATGACATGAAAAAATCATTTTAACAAATTATTTAATTTTTTTTTTTGAAAAATAATTTTAGAGTAATTTTTTATTTGTTCAACTTTTGTGACGTGTCATTAAAAAGTTTAAAAAGTAATAACTAAAAAATGACAGGTTTTTCGAATAAAATTAAATAGAAATTTTGTTCAGCGGCGTCGAGATTTTTAGGTTTTCAGTGGCTCATTATTTTTTTAAATTCTATCGTTAATCAGGAGACAATATGTAGTAGTCACCTGACTTCTTTCATGAATAGAAAAACAAGATAAATAATTTTCAAGCCCATCCGTGAACCACTGTTCACAAATGTATAAATTCGGTGAATTTTTACAATTAGTTGTGAGAAAGAAATAATTTTTTATTAATAATTAATTATTTATAATTTTACTGTACTTTGAATTATAATAATATAGCTTGTCTTTGAAGTGACTTTTTAGCATCGAACGAGAATTTTTGGAAAATATTTATACTCAATTTAAATATACAAGGCGTTTTTTCATTTTATTTTATCACACTTTCCAATTTTTCTTACATCTAAGGGTGCCTCAACTTCATATCAGGTTTATTTATATCACTTATGATGTCACTACGTCGGCACTTACCATGATTCGTTCCATTAATTCGCAAACAAACCACAATTATTATCGAGTGTACTGCCGCAAGCAAATCAAGAGGCGTTCGGGTTCTAACTGTGCCGGTTATTAAAAAATATATATATAGCGAACGTGCGCCTAATAAAACAATGCACAGTTAATTAGCGACGAATATCTAAATGGCGCTCATCGAAATCGTTCGTAGCTCATTGCGAAAATCATTTGCGTTGGTATATGGCCACGCGTTATTCGGCAATGTTTACGACAGGGAGGCTTTGAAAGCTGATAGATTCGACAATGGCCCGTAAGTAATGATAATGATGTTCCGCGTGATGAATTTCATGTACCGGGTTATTTTACTTTCGTGGATAAAAATCGATGCAGTGGGCCAAAGTTCTAAGAAAGTTTCTTGTGGTTTCAAACTGTACTAAGAAAACAAATTAAGATGAAGAGACGTATTCTTTTAAAAATT